CTCTCTTTCCCTCTTTCTCACACATGCACACACAAAGTGCTTGATCCCATAAAGGGGGAAAAAACATCCATTTACAGCCAGGGGTCAGTTCAAAGCTTGGACACCCCCCCCTCTCTCCCCTCCCTTTCCCCGTGCAGTCCGGGTGAAAGGGTTAGACCCCCATTGATTTATGACAGTGGAATTGTTCATGGCAAGACATGGAATCTGACCTCTTCGCGCACACACACACAAACTTATGCCTGGTCACCGATGCATGCACATGCAATCAACAGCACTCATGTCTCAATTTTTGTCTCCCGGCGTATTTCTCCGCTGCACCTTCATCCATTTTCCTCTTCTGTAAAAACACATAAGCGCTCCTCCCTTCCAACCTGCCTACCTCACTTCTTCCTCTCTAGCCGAAATTTGAACTTTTATGGAAAGGCGGTGGCGGGGGTTGTCTTTTCCACAGCACTTATAAATCCTAATAAATCTATCATAATAAATGTGTAATCCACGGTGTCTGGATGAGGGGAGGCGATACAGAGAGAGGGACAGCCACAGATGACTGGCTGGATTACCAGAGGCTGAAACCAGAGCTTCCAAAGCCCCTACCGAGCATTAGCAGGAAGAAATCCAATCAGTCTGGAGCTATTCTCTTTAGCACGCACACACACACGCACAAATTAGAAGAGACACGCACACCCGGAGACACATAGAGGACATTGTTTGAGAGGCAAATGTAGATCATCTCCATCCATGAGCGCACAAACATTCTGCGCAACACATTTTCTCACTTTTAGCCAAGCATGCAGTCAGTTCTGCACATGTGCAAACACACACACACGCCACACCATAATAGAGCTTCCAGCTGTAAGCTTCATATAACTAATCCTGGGGAACAGTTGTGAAACATGCACCAGTGCCGAGCCAAAGGCAACATCATCTATATCTTACAAGTTGAAGTCAGCAGATTAGCCTCGAGCAACCTCAGGGGGACATCAATGTGTGTATTACTGTGTCTTTGTATGAATCCATGTGAGAGAGTGTGCACGTTGGAGTTTTTGCTTGACTGTGCGTCAGTGTGGCCATACTGACATGCTATTACGAGCCCTCGGCCTGGACTCCAGGGTGTGCTCCATTACAGCTCCCACACATGCCTGTCTGGCAAGACTCACGGCTCTCCCACAGGCAGCACATCCATTCATCTCTATCTTCCTGACCCCAGCTGATAAATCAAGCCACTGTGTCCTTAAATTGCCAGTCCAAGCCCTATTCAAGATATTCGCTTTTCCCAGGGATGGAAATTAGTGATAAAAAAAGGACACAAAAAGGCACTTAGCTTGCCACCCAAGAGCAGAGCAGTAAAGAAGACCAAGGTAATGATCGGCTATAAGTGGAGGAAAGCAGGGAGGGATGAAGAGAAAGGGCCAGGGTCGTAAAATCCATTTGCACAACAACCGGTTACAAAATGGCTAAATGACAAAACAACGGGTGGCTTTGAACGTACCCCTGGGCTAGAGGGCACTTCTTCAGCTCTGGAGGAGAGGCTGCTGTATTCATGGGTGTATTCTACTAGAATAATTACACACACACATACACACACAATCCAGCAGCATTTGTAATGAAGCCTCCACAGATCAATACAACTCATCTAATTCATTAGCTTGAGAGCTAAATATAGCACGTTGCCCCTATCTTCAGCCTAGGCTTCTCGTGCCTAATTATGCAAAACTCAAGTGAAATATTGCAGAAAATCATTTCCCACTGCAGAGAATCCATCATCCTCCTCGGTAATCACCCAGCCTTCACCCAAATTATTTACAGCTTTAATAAACATGTTTTGACACGCAGATTGCCCCCAAAAAAGTACTTCAGGCGCTCTGTGTAACCTGTGCTCTGCATCAAATATAAGCCCCCACACACAGCTCCAAAGCTTCTCTACCAACATGCACTATTTTCTTTACATGCTCCCACTGACAAGTCAAAAAACTGACTTTGATTAGCAAGCAAACCTAAAACTAAATTTAGTGAACTAAGTCATGAGTAAGATCTTGTGAAGCTCTAGAACAGCTACTGATTGAACCTTGAGATGCGATTGCATTTTTCAACTGCTGTTTTTTACTGTCAAGAATGAACCTTCAATCTCAAATTTAATCCATGGCTCACTTATAAGAGTTTACTAGTACAGGTAACAGTAATATCTATGAACAGATAGCTGCATATGAATGGGGACCAAGATTTTGTCATCGGAAGCATTCTGGTTTTCATTTGTAGTGTGAATAGCACTGACCAATCACATTTGAGCGGGCTTTGGTTGCTTGTAGGTAAACAGTCCAGGTGGCAGTCCAATAGGTGGAACACTTTGTACACTAACTGTTTTACTCTAAACTTATGTTCATGTGTCCTAATAAACAATTTTTACAGACCCGCTAGCTGATTTAGCTAATACATCTTTCTCAACTGTTACTGCACAGTAATTCTTGGCCTGGTCTAAAGAGATCAAATCCATAAACCATGTAAAAACATGTCATTGGCAGGGTCTCACTGGGCTGCACTGACACATTCAATAGGGTTACAAAATATACTGGTATGTCAATATATCAGTGTTGCCCACTCCCAGTCAGATCGACATAGCACCTACACTAATGGAAGGCTTTAACCTTCATCGATGTAACATTTTGGCTAGCTATTGGACTGTCACAAAAATATTAGCTAACTTAAGCAGCACTTTAGGACATCGATGTCCGGTGTTGTTCCTGATGGCTACAGGCAGGTGAGATATGTCTTGGTGATGACTCCCTTTAACTGACCTCTATCTCGAACTGAGTCACCCACCACTGAAACAATCCCTGGTTGTCTTACCGGCCTGGTTGGTGGTGACGGTCACGGACACAGCCTGTTCCGGCCCGGGGCTCTGAGGCGAGACTCCATTCACTGCCCACACCTCGAAGGTGTAGTTGGTGTGGGCCTGTAGCTCGTTGATGGACACCCTGGTTCCCTTCAGGCTGAGCTGCTGGGGGCTGAAGTGGATGCCGTTGCCGCAGGGCTGACAGCGTCGTCCGTCGGGCCCGCAACGCTTACACACCACATTGTACGTTAAGTCCTGGCGTCCTCCTGTGCTCCGGGGCGGGCTCCACTCCAAGTTTACAGAGGTCTCGTTCACATTGGAGATGAGGTGGACGGGCGCCGACGGAGGGCCTGTGGAGGAGGAAGAAAGAGGTAAGAGTTGATGTTATTACCAGTGGTGGTTATACGCCAAATGCTAAGCAGGTACAGAGTTACACTAATATTTATGTTACTGGTTACTGTTGAAAAATGGAGTTGAAAGACAACAAATTGGTGATCACAATTTTAACAACAGCTTTTGGTAAATAAGTGAAAGTCTCCAATGGGTCAGGTAATTGATTCTTTCCATACATACATATAACAACGATATAGATGTGTAATTGACTGGGTTGTCCCTTTATTGAGAGCTGAGGCTTCTTGAATTCCCTTTTAATGTCCTGTCCATTACAGTGAGGGAGGATTCGATTTCACCTCAGTTAATTCAGCACGTTAACTGAAATCCAATATGCCAGCAGATTTCTTTCCCATTCATATGTCGAATCAGCTGGAGGTGGCAGAGTGCCCAAGCCCGCTGCTAACCGTTGGGCTTTATGGCACCCACTCAATAACTTTTAGACAAAGTTTGCCTTGGACCCTGTTATTAAGTCGCTACTTTGATGTAAAGCCACTGTAGTTTTTTTTATAGGAGCAGCAGCTCCACAGATATGTGACACAAACTACCCTGCTCATAATCTCAATTTACATGTCAGCTCTATTGTAATGAATGTGTTTTTTTGCGTTGCTTTCAAACATAAGCGACGGTAATTGACTTAACTCTCTCTCTCTCCCTTTCTCTTTTTTCCCTCTCTCTCTCTCTCTCTCTCTATGACTAATGAAGCGCACGCGAGCGGGCTGGGGGGATCGATGCAGGGTGAAATATGAAAGCTAGTCAGTCCACAGACGAATCATTTCACAACGGAAATTAATTATCAGTGTTATTTTTGGAGGAGCAGTGTGGCAATGAGTGATTTCACAGAGACACAGGGAGCAGCAGAGGGGACAGTGTGTAGGAGTGTGTGGTGGTCGCCCGAGGAGGAGTGAGTGCGCTTTTTGTGTGCCGCATTAATGGGGACGTGGAAGTACAATTTTACCCATGATGCATGCGTCTTAACGAGACGCTCGTAGTGTGTGTGTGTGTGTGCGTGTGTGTGTGTAGGGTTAGTCTGGCAGATAGTGTTGCGTGAGCAAATGCGGAAGGGAAGCTAAGGCTGGAAGGATGGAGATGGAGAAGGACAGAAGGAGAAGACAAACACCGTCTGTTCATCCAGGAAGTAAAAAGCCACTGATTAGTATGGAAGGCGCAGCTCTGGACGGATGGATGGGAGGATGAGAGGGAGGAACAGAAATGGAAGGTGGCGTGTGAGGAAGGGTATCTGTTGACTGAAAATGACCTAAAAGGTCACTAAAAGCACTTTACAGCAACAGTGGGATGAGAGGATGCAGTGTGTTAATATTAGCATCCCTTAACTTCCCCTCGCCAACCGCAGCCTTCGATGAAAACCTATTAATAAATTCTCATTAAAAAGTATGATAAAGCACTGCCCCCCTCCCCTTTCCCCCATATTCTCTTCCTCACCCACTTTTCCTCCCTCGCTCTTTCACCTCATTCTCTACGTTCGCTTCTCAGACAATGGGAACAAGTTACAGATGGGGTTTCTAAATTAAGGTGCCTACACCCAACCGTCATTATAATAGTGCCTTTGTCAGTGTGCTAGGTTCAGCTAACCTCTACTCCCTTTTAATACCCAATAATGCTCTGTCTGAGACACACTATAAAGCTATTACTCGACTGTTATCTGGACTTATGGCGTCATAAACTTAACAGGACAAAGGTATTATTGATTGTTTCCAGTCAATGTCCGAGAATGTGTTCGCTCTTGTTCTCCTGTTTTTGTCCTTGCAAGGATAAAAAAGATGAAATTATATATATATATATTAGTATATATCTCACTTACAGACATGAATAAATGAAGTTCAGGGAATTAAACCAGTAGTTTGACGTTCTGGGAATTGCGTTTACTTGCTTTTTTGCTGAAAATAAGATATTTCAGTATGTGCGCCTCCAGAAGATTAGATTATTTAAGTTTGTTGCTATGGCAAGAGTTGCACCAGAGCTATATAACTATATAAAGTCTTAAACACATTCAACCACTTATCAGTGTTCCCCCCTGCATTCCACACAAATACACACACACACGCAAACTACCATTGGCTGTACCTGTCGCTCTCCCAGAATGCACCAGTGGGAGCAAGGGAGCGTGGGAGAGCCGTCGGCTGTGACTGACACCCGGTAATTAATCCTGGGAGAGAGAGCGACGGGGGGAGACGGGAGCACAACGCTCACACAACCTTCGTACAACGTTAGCTCAACATGGCCTTAAAATTCACACTCCTTGCGGGTGGAATCCAGAGGGAGACTTAAAAAGTTTCTCCTGAATAAGTTGGTGATTTCTTTTTCCCTCCTCTCCTTTTCCGTTCATTTACGGCCTCGCAATTTGCTCAGAGCCTTATTCCTTTCTTTCCTGTCGCTCCCTCGCTTCCATCTCCCCCTTCTTTAATCTGTCTTTCTCATTTTGACTCCACTCCCGTTCTCCATCTTCCCTCTCTGCATGCTCCCACCCTCCTCCTTCTCTTCTCCCCTTTCCTCCTTCTTTCCTCCCTCTCTCTTTCTGTCTCTTTCTATCAGTAATTGTTAGCCGAGTGTTGCGCAGGGCCGAGGTAGAGAGCAGGCTAAATTAGCCAGAACATCGACCCCGCTATTACCATCCGGCTGGGATTCATTCAATGCCCCCCTCGAGTCCTCCGCGATCTGTGTTCATTCCTCACTCCATCCCTCCCTCTTCCTCCACCAAACCGCTGCTAAGAAAACTGGAGAAAATCTGAGAAACACATCAAGGGCCAGAAGAAACCCCAAAATGGAGAACACCCCCTCCTTATAACCTGAATGCAGTGGAGCAACCAGCTCCCACGGGTGTCTGTCACTGGTCCTCATTACCGCCCTGCGGTGTACGTGTGTGTATTTATACTCCTCCATATGTGTTCATGTGTGTTGCCTATTTTGATATATTTTGATATAACTGTATGCTTATGAATTGATTGAGATAAAAAGTGAGTTTAGGGGGTGTTTTCTGCCTGTCTGCCTACTCTATCAAAAACTAATTTAATGTTGTATGTTATAGAAATAGCTGCCTTTAAACTATCTAGACCAGGTGGTAAAAGTTGAAAATGTTTGTACAGTTGCCTATAGACTTCAGGAGGCGATAACAATCTTGACAAAAATGGCAAAAAATGAAAAAATAAAATACTTCATCTCTGTGGCATTTTTCAAAGAATGGCTACAAAAGTGTCAAGAACAATGGAGACAAGCCAGAAAGCCACAAAAGCAAGACAAGACACAGAAAAATAAACCAGAAAAAGATTATTACAGCAAAGAAAATCTAAATTTTAAAAAGTAATAGAACTCATTTATCCTGGCAGATTCCTCAGGCAAGTTGATCCAAAGAGTGGGAGGATTGTGTCTTGTTTTTAATCTGGAAAGCAAGTGTTTCGATCAAATGTAGTGCACATTAAACGCCCATCAAAAGAACAATTGCTGCAAAAGAGCAAAGATGCAAGGAAGGCACTGACAGACAGACTACAGCAGACCTGCACACAAACAGCCACACAATGACGGAATTACACAACATCCAGTTTTAATCATCAGCTTGCATTGCTAGACTCCGAGCTAAGAGCGGGGAAAAGCGTTTTCAATTACCCACACACACACATACATACACACACACCCCAATTACCAGAGATGCTGGCTCTTTCCCAGCCTGACCTTCAGCAAGGCAAACTGGGAAATGACTTTAAGACTTTTTTTTTCCTTTATCTGCTCTGTTCGTGACTCTGAGTGGGTTTTGAGAGAAATAGAGCGAGAGTGAAAACAAAACGTGGATGAGGGATGTGTGAGTGACAGCTGTAATTACAGAGCTCTAACATGTGGGTGAGAAGTTAAGAGAAAAAAAATGCATGAGGAAGGAAAACAGCAGACGAAAGACAGGGTGAGAGTTCAAAGTTCAAATGTTGACCAGCTGACGAAACCGGGGGGGGGCAGAGGTCGGTGAGAGAGTCCAGCTAATGTTCGGTTCCTAACTGTGGGGTTAGGAACATGTTAGAGATGGCGTTGCGGGCTCCAATAAAGTAAGCCAAGTAATGAGCTTTGACAGCTGTTGCTCGCAGCAGCCATACTCAAATGCCACACTGGCTAACAGGACAATAGGGATGAGCTCCAAGCTCATTCATTAAAAGAGTAACTCAATATATTAGTGATGTGACAAAGTAAGGGGCTAGGCATGTGACACAGCAGTAAGGCTTATGTGTTTATTCAATTATTAGTTTATGATTTTTATGCAATCTCTATATTCTATGTGCTGCTGCTGTTGAGAGACACTCAAAAAAAAACAGATTTGAAAAAAGTAAATAAGTACAAGGTATTGTTGTAGAGCGGCAACAATGATTGTATTTATTGATTAATCTGACAATTATTATGTAATTAATAAGATAACATCAAATAAGATAATTAATGTATGTCTGATATGTTTTTTCCGCAAAAATACAAGTATCATTTCCACATTAAAAAGGACATCTACTGATTAAAAAGATGTCTCCTACTTCACTGT